GAAGCCTCCACTGACCCTCCAGGGCCAAACTCCAGTGTCATGGCCCACATTGCCCGCCTCCCCAAGTGCACAGATTGAGACACGAGTCCCCTTGGTATCTGGTTACTTCGCCCTTCAGAGTGCTCAAGGGTTTTGTGATCGCCCGAGTCCCTGCTTGTCTCTGCCACGGCAATCAGACTGTGGCAGCCTGCCTGTGACCCCAGCACAAGTCACACAGCAGAGGACATGCTAAGTGGGTTACAGGAAGGGTACAAGCAATCAAGCATGCTTTTGGAGACACACGAGAGCCACACCAACACCGGCCTCTCTCGAGCGGTACTACTGCCAACCTGGAAGCCAGCCGTCCTGAAGCAAGACGTGGGTCCCACACACAGCAGACAGAGGGCTGGGTAGGACCTTTTCGCAGGGAGCTTCTGACTTACCCCCCGTTGTCCTGTGGTGGGGGTTTCCGCTGGGGAGGAGCAGAACCCAATCCTGCCAGTGGCCTGGGAAGGCTGGAGCCTCTACAAATCCTCCCTCTGAGCTCTTTCTGGGGGTGGGGTGGAGACCGGGGAGATGAACATGGGGAACTAGCCCACCTTTGGGGAAGAAGCAGTGACCATTACCCAGGGGTTGGGCATGAGTTGGGCATTCCACGTACTTTCACACACTGTCCCCGGGTCTAACTTCCCATCTTACCAGGATCGCATTCCCCTGGGCCCTCTCATCCTGAGCTGTTAAAGACCCAAACTGCTGACAACTCAATTCAGAGAGGAATCCCCATTTCCTCAGGACCCGGACAACACTGAGAACAGTTGCTCCTGAGGCCACCTGGTGGCAAACTCCATATCTGCAGTCCAGCTACTCCCAGGCCCAGGCCACCCTGCTCTGAGGTCAGACCAGATGCAGTTTGGTCGCCTTCCTCAACCTGGGCCTAAGGCTAGGAAAGGGAGGATTCAGAGCCAGCACTCTTAAGTGCTACCTTAGCCTGCATCTGTTACATGGATCTTTGTACCCTTGGGTCAAAAGCAAGAATACTTATCAGTAACTTTTTCTGAGAACACGGTTATGTTCCAAAGCTTTATGGAAAGGGATCAGAAGACAGAAATTTTTCTCATTACTTTTCCTCTCTTCTCTCACCCAAATCTTAGTGATAAGGTTTGAATACTCAAATGCTCTGCTTATGGCACCTACAAATGAGAAAGGGAACTGGAAAACACCTCCTCTATGCCAGGCACAGTGTCAAGGATTTTACATGTATTGTCTCCTTTAATCCTCATACAGCCCTGCAAAGCATTTCTTACAATCCCGGTTTCAGAGGTGGAAAAACTGAGGTCAGAAAGATCAGAACAGATCCCCAAAGGTGGGATTGTGCCCGCTATCTTCCAGAATTTTTTGACACATGGCAAACTTAGAGACCAAAGGGGAAGGAAGTGTCACTCTCTGGGTAGAGACCCACGACATATTCTAGGTGAGAAGAGTGTCCAGGACCCAGCTCAAGGCTGAACGAAGTGTCATCCCACATGCAGAGAAGCCAAAAGCTCCTCTCTCCAGTTCTGCTTTAGTGGGAAACATCATTAACTAGGATCTGGGCCAAGCCCATACCTAACACATGGAGCAGGCCCCTTTCAAGTACAGCTGTACATGAAATGAACGAGTGTTGTGTGAGGAGTGCCTACTACGTGCCAGGTGGTGGCCAGCCAGGCAGAGCAGACAGAGCTTCTGTCTGCGGTGTTCTTCTGGGCGAGCAGCAAAGGTAGGGGAAGCATGAGGGAGGAAAGGAGGAAGGACCCGAGGCTATGTGGATGTGATGGAGAGGTAGAGACCAGAAAAACGGAATTCAGACCCTCTGACCAGGGACAGACAGAAAGACAGATTCACTGAGAGAGGTCATCGGAGTCGGAGGCCACGGAGATACAGTGAGATCAGTGGAGAAACAGAGAAAGCCACAATGTGAGACAGCGACTTGCAAAGAGAGAAACTCAAAAAGGGAAGTCAACGCCGATACAGGCCCGCGGGGGACAGAGACCTGCAGTGCGTACACTGGTGAGACAGACACCCACACAGAGACAAACACCCAAATACAGGGAGAGCCAGTGACCTACAAGGAGAACCACGAACCCTCAGGAAGCCCCGCAGGGATCAGACGCTACAGCCTCGGGCTCCTAGATTCCGCCTCGCGGCCCGGAAAGGATCAGTACCCGGGAGGACAGAGCCCGGACCGGCCGGCCGCCGCCGCCGCCGCTCACCTGCCATCCTCCCAGGGTAGCTGCGCCGCTTTCCTCCGGGAAGGGAACATCGCGGGGGGAGGCGGCGGTGCATGGGGCTCGAGCTCCCAGCCGGGCGCGCCCGGCCTCGCCGGCCTACGCGGCGCCTCCGCCTCCCGCCCCGCCCCTCCCCGTCCGCCTCGCCCCTTGGTCCGGCCGTCCTACGCTCCGGCCACGCCGCCTGCTCCCCGGAGCTGCGGCATCAAAGGTTCCGCGTATCGAGGAACGAGTGAGCACTCCTGCTTCCTGACTGCTAACTGCCCTCCCCTCTCAACGTCCGGAGAAACTAGGCCCCCGAGAGGGCTCAAGTCACAGGGCTGGAGACTGGACTTAGACTCCAGACTTCCAAACCAGCGCCCTGGGATAATCTGCATCTTCCTCCTCTTTCCAAGGGAAAGCGGGGAGCCTCTGGGCAGCCCTGCTGTCAACCCAGGTGCATTTTTTCTCTGCAATGAGCTTGAAGCCAAGTTCAGAGCTTGGGGCTTGGGTTGTTGATATCCATGGAGTTAGAAGCCAGGCACTAAAGGCAGATTGACTGGATTCGAAACCTGCCGCTGCCAATTCCGTTGTGTTTTAGGGCAAGACACAATCTGCATCTGTTTCCTCACCTGAGTATGTACATGATTCTTCCTACATGGGTCTACACGGTTGCCATGAGGATTAAAGGGAAAACACCCCTAGCACAGCGATGGGCACTACACTCAACACTATGTAAATGACCGCTGTCGTTCAGGAAAGGGGTACTCCGGTGGAGACGAGGGACTACCGAGGAAGGGAACCTGTAAGGAGACTGAGCGGTGGGAACCGAGCTGCTGGGCCAGCTATCCACCTGGGAGGAAAAAGCGGCGGTTATTAGCTTTGCTCTCTGCCCTCTAAGGCCTATTGTAAGTTTCCCAATAAAGAGCTAACGTGCATTGAGTTCTTACTACGTGCAAGTCATTGTTCTAAATTCTTTCCTGCTGTTACCTCATTCGGTCCTTGAGTATTGTGCTTATCGTGCCAATTGTTTTCCTTTTACATTTCCTTGTCACTGAATTTATGGGGGTGACACTGGTTAACAAAATTACACAGGTTTCAGGTGCACAATTCCACATCTGCACAGTTTTGTGTGTTCATCACCCCAGATGCCAATTTTAAAGATGCGGTGACCAAGCACAGAGACAATTCATCACATAAGCCCAGTCTGAGGTTGCACAGTCTGAGGTCTCAACCACTCTGCTTCCAAGAGGACTTCACTGTGGGTGGAAAATTAATAGTTCCCAGTAACCCACCTTCTCCCTTCAGCCCTGCAGCACACAACCCCACTGGTCCCTGTGCTGAACTCTCTCAGGGCATTGCACCCTGTACTGCAACCTTGGCAAATCCAGCTTAGATTTGGCTAATGACGACGGTGAGGAGGATCCCTGCAGAGAGCAGCCAGGTAAGACCAATGATGGAAGCAGGGAGGTGGGACTGTGACCTAAAGAACATCAGCGCTTCTAAAGGGCGTCCTGCTAGTGTCAGATCAGATTGACCTCAAGAAACCTGGGGTTTAATTTCACATAAAACCCCAAATTAACTCATTTTAAACTGTGACATCAACAGTCACGCTGACTGTAAGTACCCTTGATGTGATGGGATGAAAATGGCACTTCACTTGTGCTCTGCCTTTGAAAACCCCAGATCCCTGGTTCAATCATGGAGATAAATCCTAAGGGAAATTCTACAAAAACACCTGACCAGTACTCCAGTAACCCATCAAGGTAATTTAAAAAGGGCAGCGGAGGTGGGGGGGGGGAGTCGGAGAAACTCACCGCCAAGAGAAGCCCAGAGACAACTAAATCTAATGTGGTGTCATAGAAGGGGTCCAGGAACAGAAAAAGGCCTTCAGGTAACAGCTAATGGACTTCAGTTAAAGATAGTATAATGCTAGATTCATTAATTTCTAACAAATGTACCCTGCTGACACATGACACAAATAGAGGGAACTATTTTAAGAATTTTTTTATAATTCTACAAGTTAATTTTTTTTTAATGTGGAGGTATAGGTCGGAGGTAATAGAAGCTCAGATGACACCCTTCTGGATCGAACATCCCCCAAAATGTCTCCCCACCGTTTCTTTCTCAAACACTGCCGACCCACCTTCCTCCAATTTACATTCAGGGACACTTTCCACACAATGCTTTGTTGAAAGTGCGCAATGTCCACAAATCTGTGACTGGGGCTGTTCTCATTCTGAACAGCCTTCCTTTGCAGCCGTTCATAACCCCCCCCTCCTGGCACCAGGTGAAACAATGCCCATCCATCTCCACACCAGCTGTCTCAGCTCCCCCAGCTGCCCCTGCCCTGCTGCCTGTCATCAAAACCCTTCCTCTCCCTCAAGACCCTTGCTGAAATTCCACACTACTGGCTAAGCCCACCAATACTCCTAGCCCTACCAGCCCAGGGCTTTCTGTCCTCCTCACACCTGCAGCACCAGGACAATTCTATTCCAAGCCCAACTACTCTGCAAAGGCAGGGAGGGCACTTCATGAGAGGGCTGGCACGGATGAAATGGTGTGGACTTGAGCACCAACCCAATTTACCTGTTGGATGGCCTCAGGCAAAACCACCTCCCCCGGCCACCAGAAGGTGCGGAGAGGATGAAAAGGGTGAAGTTCACAGGTGGGTATTTACCTTGGAATGTGAAGTGCTTGTCCTTCGGAAGAACTGACATTCCTCAAGCACCCTGAAGTGTTATGCCCACTGATGGCACAGAAACTTTACACTGGACAAGAAGTGTACTTTTTTTATTGGGAAACCAATGTAACAAACCTAGGCTTATTGAAAATGAAATCAGTAACTAAGACTGCAGGCCCCACCCCTAGCCAGCACCAAGACCTCTGCTTTCCCTGACCCCAATTCCTCAAGCCCCAAGGACCACCAGGTGAAGAACCTGAACTCAACCTCAGGACCACCTTTCCACATTGCAACCCCCTCCAACCCACCCTCAACTGACACGCACCCTGGATTGGCAGGCTCGGTTTAGGCCCAAGGAGGTTCTCAGGGTGGCAGGAAATCACAGCTATACCCCAAACTGCTCAAAATCTCAAGTTAGCAAAGGAAGACAAAGAGAAAACTGGCTTGCCCACCCACTCCCCTCCCCCCAGCCACCCCAGACAGCAGCCTCACATCCCTGATCAGTAACACTGATTCTGAGGTGCTAGGGGGCCCCCAGTGGCTTCAACAGCCCCGAGGAGATTACTGCAAAAGGCCAAGAGCCCAGGGAGGGGCAGGCACCTGCCCCACCACCTGCTCAGAATTAGCCAGCCAAGCTGCTCCATTCAGCTTGTACCTGGGGTGCCTGTGACCCCTGTCCTCTCCAGAACATTCGTGGCTGGGAACCAGTCAGTCCTCTTGTCAGAGAGAAATCAGTTCCAGGAGGCCCCTTCTCCCCCAGCCTGGGAGGAAGGATGGCTACACCAGCTTCTTGGCTTCAAAGAAGCTCTTGAGATGTCGCATCTGCCAGACACCGATGGCTACAAGGATGAGGGTCTGCAGAATGGACCACCATAGCACTCGCTGGTTGGTGCTCTCGCTGGTCTGCCGGAAGCGCTCCTCTCGCCACTGTGGGGGAAAAGAATGGAACAGCCTGAGTTGGCTGGGCCCCACTTGGGGCCATTAGAACTGCTGGTAGGCCCCTGGAAAATGCCCCAGGGCCAACCAGCTCCGCACAGGTCCCAGTCAAGGGCCTACAAAGAGCCACTCCACCTGGGAATGTCTTTACCCACACCAACCAGATGGCCTCAGGTAACTAAGTCTGCTCATCTGAAGCCCTCACCCGGTCCTACCCAGGGCTCTTGGAAGAGAGGTAAAGTAGTCGTGGTATAGCCACCAGACAGAGCTGATCTGAGGCGCTCAGGAGTGGACTTGCCAAGCAGTCTGCCCAGGTTTCCAAACTGTTCCTTGAAAACTGTTGGGCACGGGTTACAACTGGGTGGCCCAGAAGCTAGACTGGCCCATATCATGTGTTTTGTTTGACTCATGTGGTATTTGCCAAGATTTAAAACCCCCCAAAATTTTACATTAAAAACTTGGACCTCTAGCTTCTCTTAAAATCCAGGGCTACCCTCGACGTAAGGGAGGAAAAGAGAAAAGGAAAAAAGAAAGAAAGAAAAAAAAAACAGGGCTAGCTAGTATCTCTACAAGGCTGTCCTCAGCCAACAACAGCAGCTGTTCCTGTTTAGGTGGGCCACTGTCCTACCAATCCTTACGGTCACAGATGAATTCACGGAAGCTGCCTGACTCCCGTACACAGGTCCTTGTAGCACCTAGAGTCATGGGAATAGCACCTGAGGTGTTGCTATCAATTCCTGCTCTGCGGCTTTGTGTAACTGTGGGACTCAGGGCAGCAACAGCCTCTTAAGAGACTGTCTCTTCATTCACAAACAGAGTTAGTAATAGCTACTCCACCTTTTAGACTTGCAAAGTGGCCCAAAACAGGCATGTTTCTTGGGTTTCATAATGACTCTGATGTGTAACTCCTGGCTGAGCCAGTGAGCAGCTTCTAAGAAGACCCCTGGCCCTGGTCTAACCACTCACCCGCTGGTAGTTCTGCTCTTTCTGGATCTGCTCCACTTGTTCCACCAGCTGTCGCACTCTTAGCTGCAACTCACTCAACTTGTCTTTGGCAGCAATTTCTGCGTAGTCGTTGGCATGTTCACCCACCTGAATGTCCAGATGAACTCTCTGTGAACAGACAAGGAAGACAAAGACAATCAGGCAGCTCTTCCTGCCAAGGACTGACAGCTGGTCCCCCGCCTTCTTTAATCTGACAGGGCCTCCTCAGTGTCCACTCTACTGGGCTCTGGGCACACAGGAAACAGGCCTCGGCGCCCTAACAAGTGTGGCTCACTGGTTTGGCATCACCCTGCAAAGCAAAAGACTGGTCTATTCAACTGCCGGTCAGGGAACATGCCTGGGCTGCAGCTTCTGTGCCTGGATGGGGCGCGTACAAGAGGCAACTGATCCATGATCATTGTTTCTCTCTTTCTCCCTCCCTTTCTCCTCTAAAAATAAATAAATAAAAATCTTAAAAAAGAAAAAAAGCAGCAGCAGCCTTGGCTGATGCTCTGACCAAGACATATGCAGAGAGCTCCACAACTATGTCCTGGGTGTCCACTGGAAACCCAGTCTTGTTAGGAGACACAAAACCCAACCTACTCATCTCACACCCACAGTATCACCCCCACCTGTGCTGGTCCTGCCCAGGAGCTAAAGACTAAAAGCAACCAGTCCCAAGTAAATCCACTTACCAACATGCCACCAGCAAAGAGGGAGAACTTGGTAGAGTTGGAATGAAGACAGATCTGATGCTCACCAGGGGTATGGGACGTAAACGTGAACCTTCCTTCAGAGCCATACTGCCGGGCCAGAATGACCTGGGAGAAAGGGCTTCAGTGAGCATTACCGCAGCACCTGACAAGTGCACAGACAGAGCAGAGGCACCCCACACACTAAAAGGCCCAAAGCTGCACAGCCAGCAGGTGCCAAAGGCTTGTCTGAGAACTGTTTGGAATGGGGGTGAAGAATCAGACATTATGTTAGCACGTGATCTCTCTTGGGAAGGGTTCTCCTTTATTCATAGTTCATGCCCTTTCAATTATTTTGGTGTAATTCTTCTTTTAAGCGAAAGATGACAGCTAAAGGGTTTGGGTTTTAATCTTTATTTGTCAAAATTTAAACCTGCTGCCCTGGCCAAGGGCATGGCTCAGTGGGCTGGAGCGTCGTCCTGCCATTGTGGGTTTGATTCCCCGACAGGGCACATAACCGGGTTGTGAGTTCCATCCCGGTCCCGCCGTTCGGGAGGCTGCTGATCAGTATTCTCACAACAACGTTTCTTTCTCTCCCTTCAATGGGAAACATGTCCTCGAGTGAGGAGAATTCAAGAAAAAATTTAAAGCTGCTCAATTCATTTTCGAAAGTACACTGTTCCCTGAAATCCTAAAGAGCAGATGTCACCGCTTTTGAGTTGGCAAAATTCTTTGTTTTCCAGCGCCTCAATTAATCATGCGGTCCCACCTTTAAAACGTGCATTTTCATTACACAGACCAGGAACCGGTTCAGGGAAGGTAACTGGCTCGGCGGAGTCACGCAGCAGTCAGTAAGAAGTGGAGAGGAGAGCCAGCCTACAACAGCCTAAATTAGGCCTGGAGTGAAAATTCCGCGATCTTCCTACACCACCAACTGCTTTTTACCAATTTAGCTGCTGTGGAAACTAAGAGGGGAAGTACCAGCGCCGGGTTAGTCTGGCGCTGAAGTGCTGAGCGGAGGGCTCGGCGGGGCGAAGGGACCAGCTAACCTTGTCTTCTGGGTCCTTCACCTCCACGAACATGCCCAGCCCGGGGGTGGCCGGCTGGTATTCCTCCCGCTGCTTGTCGTACAGCTGCGTCCGGTAGTTTCCTGGAGGGAAGCCGGGCGAGGCCAGATCAGAGGAGCGCAAGGTCGCCCCGGGTCCGCAGTGGCCAGAGCACGGTGAGGTGGGACTGCTCCCGGCTCTGGAGCGCCACTGGCTCTCCCCAACCCCGCGCCCCGACACCACAGTCTGGCTGCCAACTCTCCCCCGCCCCCCGCACCTATAACCATGGTCTCGTCCGGAATCTCCTCAATAAAGCACTTCTTCTCCGTCTCCCCGATGTGGAAGTAGAGCGCTCCTCCGCGGGCAACAAACCACAGCAGCAGCACCAGGGCCCGAACCACCTGCCCCAGCCCGGCGCCCAAACAGAGAGCGGAGACCCGCGCACTACGCTCCGCAGCCATCTTGCCCCACCTTCCCGCGCAGCCGCAGATGGCGGCGCCACGTAGCCCGGCCGCCCGGCCGCCGCCGCCGCGGAGCCTATCGGGACAGCGAGTTCCGCGGGTGGGATTGTAAGACCCGAGATGCCTCGCGGCGGTGACGCGGCGGTGCCTGATTGGGTCGCAGTTTCTACCGGGAACCGAACTGGGGCCGCAAAATGGGGAACTCTTTGTTGACCATCATTGTTGTCCGGCGCTGGTGATTATCAACATTTTAGAGATGGTGAAACTAACTCAGTGTTTGAAGTCGTGGAGCAGACACGGGATTCGAACCTACGGTCCCAGATTGTCTTGGCATAGGTAGCATTTGTCTGCCCCTCAAAACAGAAGGCAAAACAGCCTCTATTTTTAAAAATTCGATTTTGAAGAAAATGACAGAAGCAACGCTCAGATTTATCTTCAAAATTTTTTTTAAATAGAAGAGAAAAATTATGCTCTCCCTTTACCACTTCTTTGCTCCCCCAACCCCTGTCACTGAAAGCCGGTGTCTGGTCCCAGGCATCGCATCGGCAGCAGCACTACACACACCTCCACGCAGGCTTTGCCGGCCGATCCGGCCGCGAAGGCTCCTCGGCCGAACGTGCTCCGGGCCCCCAGCGCCGGCAGGTCAAGGGCTATTTATTGGGATTCTTGGGGCGGAGCCGCCCAGTGTTGAGCTCTGAAGTAAGTGTGAGGTCAGCAGAGGTCTGGGTCCTGTCTTTCTTGTCCTTCCTGAATTTTACCCAAATTCAGGCTATTTTGGAAGGTCTTCAGAATCAGCCATTTATTGCTGCGCTCCCTCAAAGTTTCATAGAAGTTGGAGGTTTTTACTCTCTATTCAAAGTTGTTCTTGTCATTTCATTTGACCCTAACGAGGGAGGTTTAGTAGGAATGTGTTCACATTTCCCTGTCACCGGGAAGTCTTTGTCTCATTTTTCCTAAAAATAGCAATATTTCATAATATGACTGTACCTTATTTTTTAAAGATTTAATTTATTTTATTATTTATTTTTAGAGAGAGGGGAAAGGAGAGAGGGAGAGAAACATCAATGTGTGGTTGCCTCACACACTCCCCTTACTGGGGACCTGGCCACAACCCAGGCATGTGCCCTGACTGGGAGTTGAACCAGAGACCCTTTGCTTTGCAGTCTGGTGCTCAGTTCACTGAGCCACACCAACCAGGGCTGTACCTTATTTTTTTAAGCATTCCTGTGATGAAAGTGGTTAACTTTTTTTTTACCCTAATTATTTGATTTCACAACTAATGCTGCAATAAAAATTATTTTTCATTTATTGCCCTGACCTGGTAGCTCAGTTGTTTAGAGTGTTGTCCTGGTAGCCAAAGTTGTGGGTTGGATTCCTGGTCAGGACACATAGAAGGAAGAATCAACTAATGAATGCAGAAGTAAGTGGAACAACAAAATTGATCTCTCTCTTTCTCCCTTCTCTCTCTCTAAAATCAACCTTAAAAATTATTGTTTGCTTACTTAAGAGCATTACAGCCGGACATTGTTTTGTTGAGATCACAAAACTGCTGTCCCAAAAACTTGGTACTAATTTATAGCCCCACCAGCAATGTGTCAGAGAGCTTGCTTTCCCACGCCCTGCTCAGATGCTCTCAGCTCTTTTTAACCTTGGCAAAGTGATGGGATGAAAAGTTGTATTTTACTGTCCTTTTCATGTTTATTTCCTCAGACAATGGACGGACATTTTTTTCCCAGCCATTTGCTTCCTTCTAGGAACTGCTGGTTGATTTTCCTTAGTGTTCTTATAACTACACATTATTATTGTTGTTGTAATCACCATTCGGAATTAACAAAGGATTACAGAATTAATGATAACATTTCATATTAGTTTCACGTATCTTTAAGTTAAACTTCTCACATTGAGACAGTTGTAGATTCACATACAGTTGTAAAAAATAATGCAACGTGATCCAGGGAACCATGACCCGGTTTTGCCCAGTTACAGTTGTAACATTGTGCTCCGTACCACAACCAGCATATTGACATCAATCCAGGCAAGTGAGAGAACATCATCACAAGGATCCCTCATGTAGTCCTGTTATAGCCACACCTCTTTCCTACCCCCTCATCTGTCCGTAACCCCAGACGACTACTGCGACTACTGCTGTTGCAGGTGGAAATGGGGCTCTTGCACGGAGTTGCCAGGAAAGCGTTCCAGGGACCCATATATGGGAAGATAAGGTTTAATGTAGAAACAAAATCCAAGGACTGCCCCTGGGTTCCCAGTGTCCCATTTCTCTCCCTCCCACTGTGAAAGAAGTCCAGCCTTGCCTTCATCAGGCCCAGAATAAAGGCCAAGTTCCAGAGATTCTCTGCCATTGGTTTAGTCTGTACTAAAGCTTAGTCCAGTCCAGCCTTTGCCCTGTCTAGCCAGCTCAGTCTGTCCCAGCTGCATTTGGCTGTCACTGTGCTGCTGTGCCCAGGCTTACACTTGCAGCCTGCCTGTGGAGTCTGTGTGGCTGCTGGACCCCAGGCAGCCGCTACGGCCACATGGCTGCCATGGAGAGAGAATGCAAATGCCCACAGGGGAGCACATGTTCCTGGGAGGGAGAGCAAGAAGGAGAGAAAGAGCTCCTTTGTTTGTCTGATTATATTACCTTGGGCTTGGGAAGCACCAGGGACTTTTTTAAAATAACCAATCAACTTTCCAAACTTTTTGAGGCTGGCATGGAGTCTTGCCCCTAACCAATCCATTTCCTCGATCTTTTGGGATTCTGTGTCTCTTACCCAATCCGATTCTTTTCCCAGGCCAGACAGAGAGGCCTTTATGGTTGTCGTCTTGGCTCCTACTTCAAATGCCTCATAATAGAAGCACCTCCTCCTGCATCATCTTGGTTGCTACTGGGCATGTGCCCAGCAGAGGAATTTCCCTTCCTCCCTCCCCTTATAATCCAGTACAGGGCAACAACTACCCAGGGAGATTGGGAAGCTGGTCCTTACTTTCTATGGAGGGGTGGGGGAGAATGAAATTAATGCCCTTGGTGGGACAATCCTGCAATCCTCTGGGGAGTGTGTGAAGCTGTAGCTTCCTAGTAGTTTAGGCTTCTTAATGTCCGATTCCTTTTGCTCCCTTTGTTAATATCTAGCTGCCTACATTAACAACACTAATCTGCACTTTCTATTCCTATGCTTTTGCCATTTCAAGAATGTTACATAAATGGAATCATACAGTATGTAACCTTTTGAGATTGGCTTTTTTTTCACTCAGCATGATGCTCTGAAGATTGCAGTTTGTTGCCCGTATCGACAGTAAGTTTCCCTTTAAAGTAAAAGGTAGCCATTTCACATAATATAGAAAGATATAATTTTATAATATCAACAACTCAAAGAGGTGAGAACACAGCTGTTAAAGGAGAATTTTGTATTTTATTGAAGTTTGTAGGGGCGACATTCCTCGTAAGTCACCCCAGCCACCACGGATGAGAGTAATCATTACTGAGACATGATGTGATCTGCTTGGGGAGGAGAAATGGCCATTTTCCCGGAGGAAAAGGCCGTGAGCAGTGGCCAGTTTTTCAGGGGAAAAAGGCGTTGAGCTTCCTCCTCCAGGGGCTTTTATTGGGTTGTAATACACAGGAATACAGGGCAGCAAGGATCAAACAGTAGATAACATTTCAAAGAAATCTGAGGGCTTAGCTTGAGTAAGTCTGTCAGGAATAGAGTTTTAGGGTTTCCTACTCGAACCCTTAACATGAATGAATGCACTCTTAGTAGAGCAGATTTCACAGGTTTATCAGGAAGTCTTTGTGATGCCAGATTGTTCCCCAGGACACCTCTGGCAGGGCAAGGAGCTGCACCTCTCCCCATCAGGTATTCAGGCTTAAGGGGATTAGAGCCAGGAAGCACTTCTCCCAGAGAACATGGGGACTCTGGCTTTGTCAAAGCCCGGTGGTGGGGGGGTAAGAGGCCATTGCTCTTTGTTGCAGCCCCTCCCCTCCCACCCCCCTCCTTCCATGAAGGCTTCCCAAGTGAGCAAGTCTGGATTAGGTTGCCCCCCCGCTGTGAGGGGTCTTACCCACCATTGACTTCCAACCAAGCTTTGGGGACAGGGAGAGGAAACTGAGGCAGCGTTTGCTACCAGAGACAAGCTTTGTCTCCTGCGGCTCATATTCCAGAGGTCATTCCTCGCCGTTTACCACAAGGGGTCGAGATACAATTCCTAGAACCAGGTAGAGCGGTCTGCAACCATACATTGATATTTTCTCCCTCTCTCCTTCGCTTCCCCTCTAAAAATAAATAAATAAAATCTTTTAAAAAATGTTTAAAATATATATATATTTTTTTTAAAGAATAATCTCACTTTACACCTTAAAAAACTAGATAAAGAACAAAATAAACCCAAAGCTAGCAGAAGGAAGGAAATAATACAGATAAGAGCAGAAAAAAACATAATAGAAAAGATAAAAATAATAACATAAAAAAATAAAAGTTGATTCCTTGAAAAGATCGAGAAAATTGAGGAACCTTTATCTAGATGGACTGAGAAAAAGAAAGAAGACTCAAATTAATAAAATTAGAAATTAAACTGAGGACATTAATACCATTCTAGGGAAGTAAAAAGGTTTATAAGACAGTGCTAGGAGCAATTCCATACCAACAAATTTGATAACCTAGATGAAATGAACAGATTCTTAGAAACAAAAACTATCATGACTAAACCACAAAGAGACAGAAAATCTAAATAGATCTATAACTATTATGGAAGACTGAATCAGTAGTAAAAAATTTCCCAACAGACAAAAGTCCTGTATTTGATGGCTTCACCAGTAAATTCTACCAAACATTTCTTTCTTTCTTTCTTTTTCTTTCTTTCTTCCTTCCTTCCTTTCTTCCTTTCTTTCTTCCTTTCTTTCTTTCTTTCTTTCTTTCTTTCTTTCTTTCTTTCTTAAGATTTTATTTATTATCTTTACAGTGGAAGGGAAGGAGAGGGAGAGAGAGAGAAATATCAAAGTATGGTTGCCTCTCATGAGTCCCCTGCTGGGAACTGGCCTGCAA